CTTGTGTTTCCCTTAGCAACGGCTTCATCACATCCAATGACCTCTCGAGGAGAAAAACTAAGCTGAAAGGCAGCTGTTTCAGGACTGAACAGAGGAGGCCTGCTGCTATGGTTACGTAATCCATCATAAAAGATTTCTATTCATAACATATGCCCCCGTTCTTTTCAATGCCCCAGTGAATGATACAGCACATCAAATGACCACCAAAAATAAAAATATCAGGCGAAAATCACCACATTTAAACCCACTAAGCATTCGGTCGATGCTAGTTATATGCAAAAACTAGAACAGGAATTGTTTTAATTATTTGGATTTGAACATGACTTGGGGAGGAGACGGTAGCATATAATAATCACCAGGCCAGACAAATGATATAGGGAGGAAGATCAAATTCTTGATGGAATCTGAATTCAGTGAATAACTCTGGAATTGAAAACCGGTCTCAGTAATGGTGACCATACTATTCATTGTTGCAAAAACAAAACAGGTTGACTAATGTCTCTAGGGAAGAAAATCTGCCATCCTCACCAGATCTAACCTACAGACCAACAGCAACACAGTTGGCTCTTAAATACTGTCTGAAGCACCGCAGCAAGTTAGTCATTTCAAGGGACAATTAGGGATGGGCAACAAACAATGGCCTTGCTGGTCATGTCCACTCCCAGGAAAGAATAAGTGAGAAATGATGAATGGTACAAACTGAACTGATGACTTAATTGTAAATGTTTGCAAAGAACATGCATACACTCTCACTGACTCAGTCTCACATGAAATGCAGTGGCCTCCAACTCCCTCCATGCTCATTTTTGACCAGAGCTGCCAAACAAAATTTCCTGGTAACCTAGAGGCAAGTCGCAACGACTTTTTTTTTTTCTTTCGAGCGAACAAGGGAGCTTTACAATGGAGTAATATTAATCAGGACCTTTACAGAACAGTATTTCAATTTGTACCAAAAAGGTAAAGTCGATTCCTGCAATTTCTTCTCTTGGGGTGTGATTGGGAAGTGCCAGAGGTGTCAGCACAACAATTCTGGAGGTTTTACTTGAGTTAAATGAACTGAATGATGAAGTGGGTTAGACACAAGCTTTTACCATAATGTTGCAATGAAAGCCTATTGGCAGCTAAGGTACAATATGAAATATATTTTTGGGCAGTCACAGCACAGTTTCACAGGGTTATGGATAAGTATCAGCAAAAATTGAAACGAAAAGGTGTACCAGATTTTGAATTTTTAAAAAAAAATCAATTCACAGGATGTCAGTGTTGCTGGTTGGACCAGCATTTAATGCCCATTCACAGATGCCATTGAGAATGTAGAGGTGAGCCATATTCTTGAACTGTTACAGTCTATTTGGTGTAGGTACCTTCTCAATGCTCTTAGGGAGAGACTTCTGAAATTTTGACTCAGCGGTATTGAAGGAACGGCAATATATTTCCAAGCCAGGATGCAGAGTGGTTTGGAGGGGAACTTGCAGGTGGTGGTGTTCCCATATATCAGCTGCCCTTTCCTTCCTAAATGGAAGTCATGCAGGTTTGGAAAGTACTATCTATACAGCCTTAATTAATTTCTGCCGTGCAACGTGTAGATAGCAAACACTGCTGCTACTGTGGTGCCAGTCAAGCGGGCTGCTTTGTCCTGGATGGTGTCAAGCTTAGTGTGTTGTTGGAGCTGTACTTATCCAGGCAAATGGGGAGTATTCCATCACACTCCTGACTTGTGCCTTGTAGATGGTGGGCAGGCTTTAGGGAGTAGCCTCTGGCCTGTTCTTTTTGCTGCAGTGTTACATGACTAACCTAACAAAGTTCCTGGTTAATGATATTCCCCAGGATATTGATAGTGGAAATTCAGTGCTGATGATGCCATTGAATATCAAGGGCGATGGTTAGATTCTCTCTTGTTGGAGATGGTCATCATGTGTTCTAAATGTTACTTGCCACTTGTCAGACAAACCTGGATATTGCACAGGTCATGCTGCATTTGAACATGGGCTGCTTCAGTATGTGAGGAGACTCAAATGGCAACGAACATTGTGCAATCATCGGCAAATATCCTCACATCTGACCTTATGATGAGGGAAGGTCATTAATGAAGCAGTTGAAGACAACTGAGTCTAGGACATTACCCTGAGGGCTCCTGCACAGATGTCTTGGAGCTGAGATGAATGGCCTCCAAAAACTACAACCATATTCCTATGTGCCAGGTATGAGTCCAATTGAGTGGAGAGTTTTCTCCAATTCCCATAGACTCCAGCTTTCTCAGTGTTCCATTGATGGCATGCTTGGTTAACATTTTGCCTTGATATCCAAGGGGAGTTACTCTTACCTCACCTGTGAAATTCAGCCTTTTTGTTCATATTTCAACTGAGGCTGTAATGAGATCAGGAGGTGAATGGTACTGGCAGAAACCAAATGGAAAGTCAGTGAGCAGGTTATTGTTAAGCAAGTGCTAATTGTTAGCACTGTAGATGACACCTTCCATCACTTTTACTGATCAACAGTAGATTGATCGGCCAATAACTGGGCAGGGCTGATTTGTCCTGATTTTTATGTATACAACATACCTGGGCAATGTTCAACATTGTTGGGTCGATGCCACTGTTGTGGCTGTACTGACTACAGCTTGGCTAGGGGAATGGTAACTTCTGGAGTACAAATCTTCAATTCTATAGCTGGAATATTGTCAGGGCCCATTGCCTCTGCAGGATTCAATGCCTCAAACCATTTTCTGTTATCACTTGGAGTGAATGGGACTGACTGAAGACCAGCAACTGAGAATCTAGGAGGAGGCAGCGATGGATTGGCCACTTGGCACTACCAGCTGACGATTGATGCAAATGTTTCAGCCTGATTCTTTCATTGATGGGTTGGGCTCCTCCATCATTAAGGATGGGGACATTTGTATAGTCTCCTCCTCCAGTGAGCTAGTTAATTGTCCACTACCATTCACAACTAGATGTGGCAGGACTGCAGAGGTTACAGCTAATCTGTTGGTTGTGAAATTGCTCAACTCCATCTATTACTTGCTGCTTATGCTGTTTGATACACAAGTAGTCTGGTGTTGTAGCGTCATCGTGTTGATTCCTTATTTTAAGGGATGCCTCGTGCAGCTCCTGGCCATGGCCCCCTGCATTCTTCATTGAAGCATGGCTGATCCTGTGGCTTGATGGCAATAACAGAGTTGGTATAAGCCGGGACATGAGATTGCAAACTGCGTGGGAGTACCATTCAGCTGCTGCAGCAGACAAATATAGGTGGAGGGACAGGGAGTGGTCAGGAAGCTGGAAGGCTGCAGAAGGACTTGGACAGGCTAGGAGAGAGGGCAAAGAAGTGGCAGATGGAACACAATGTGGGAAAGTGTGAAGTTATGCGCTTTGGTAAGAAGAATAGATATGCATATTATTTTATAATTGGGGAAGGGCTGCAAAAATCTGAAGCATAATGAGACTTGGGAATCTAGTTCAGGATTCTGAATCAGATAGGTTTTTTAAAGTTTTAGGATTATGATTTTTATTGAATTCAAATTCCAGATTCTGCCATGGTGAGATTTGAAACCAAGTTTTCAGAACGTTAGAGAAGGCAAGAGAAAATGCAAGATACAACAGTCTGGAGATGAGAAGGTTGTGAAGTGACCTCATTGCAACAAGCAAAACGATGGGGTTGACAGGGTAAATCTAGGAAACTATTTCTACTGCCCGGGGAGTCTAAAATTATGGGATTAATAGTTCGAGATTCCTTATCCTGAAAGAAGGAAGGAGATACAATTCCCCATTGAGAGGATCATGAATCTTTGGTATTCCCTTTTCCAGAGGGCTCTGTTGCTGAGTTCTAGTACATTCAAGATCCAGATCGATAGGATTTTTGAGCACAAGGGAAATCAAGAGATGTGGTGGGAAAGTGGAGCTGATATAGAAGATTAGCCATGATCCTAGTGAAGGGCGCATCAGCCTCAAAAGGGCTGTATGGTCTATATCTGCTCCTATTTATCTACATATATTCTGAGTGAACCACTGAACTTTTGTAAATTGCTATGATTGATGTTGCTTTTTGGAGACACAAGACTTTGGACTTTCGTCTTTTTTAGCATCTCCCTTGCTTCTCACTAGCTGAGGTGGGAGACTGCAAGTTTCCTTTCTGGGACGTGCCATCTCACTAACCCATTGCTAAATTTCAACTAAATCTGGGCAGATCCCTATCTGCACATACCCAGTGGGCAGTCAGGCCTCAGATAACTTGCTACATTCCCAAATAGCCAAATTGCTCCTCTCAATTGCTGTTCAGTGCCTCCCAAGATCCCCCACTCCCTCCTGTACGTTACATAGCTTGTATCCATTTACACGTCGGGTGTGCTATACTACAGCATGCAAACATAACAAAGCTGAAATACAGCAATAAAGTGCAACAATAAAAGGAACACAAGAACACACCAGGAGACATACAAGCAAGAATTACAGAAAAAGAGAGAGAGGGCATTAAGTTATTGAAATACCTTTCAACCACAAAGTAAAGGGTGTTTAAAAAAAGTTCAGAAAGGAAAAGAACAAAACCTTGTACTTTATGATTCTTTAAACATAGGCAGTGGGATCAAGGCACTTCACACAATTGTTATGTAACAAACTTTGATACCAAGTCATATAATATGATATTAGGGCAAATAGTTAAAAGGATGGTTAAAGAGGTAAGAAGTTTTGAGGACCACCTTAAAAGGAGAGGGGAAAAAAAAAGGAAATTCCAGAGCCTTGGCAGTTAAAGGCACAGCCACGGGGAAGGTGAGATGATGTTAAGGAGGTGGAAACAGACAGGCAGGCAGGCTTAGTGACGGAGCTGGTAAGTGTGGTCAAATATGGCATCGGGTTTGAAAACCAACCTGCTTCAATTTCAGAGAGTTTCCAGAGATTGAAAGAGACTAAACTAGAAAAGAAAATCTTTTTTCCCCCCTCCTTAATGAGGAACTCCACTGGACATTTAATTAAGACTCTGGGAATTTTTGTTTAAACACTTACTGTGGCTGGATTGTTCTGTAGTCTGGGATTTCCACTTTTTTCTTTCTGAAGAAAAACCAGTAGATTGTAAACCCAGCAATAAGGGAGAACAGAAAGATGTCCAACATACTGAAGAATGATTCTTCCACTGCCACTGGAGACTCAGCAGCATTATCTGCTGTTGATGCCCCAAATTCCACTTCAGATGAATCCATGTTCTTTGCTGACAAAACTGCCAAAACAAGAAACAAATGGTCAGTCTTGGGAAATGATGATTTTGGCTTTTAGTTTAGTTTTCCTAACAAACTTTGTTTTCTGAAATCATCATCATTTCCAAAAGGTTGGTGGAATATGATATTTAGCAAAGGCTACACAAAATCAGGAAGTCACTTGTTGAGCTAAACCACGCACAGAGGGTGGGGAGGATGAAACAGAACATTTCTACTTGCCAGGGAGACTCAAACTAGCGGTTAACAACAAAAAGAATATAGTCAATAGTAGAAACAACATGGAATTTCAGAGAAACGTCTTGCATTGTGGAACCAGCTATCTAATTAATGGCTGGGGCAAACATATCAGATGTATTTAAGGGGCTGCTGGAAAAGTACAGCAAACTTTGACCAGCAATCTTGATAAACTGGCAAAAACTAGATCCCTGAAATATGGCAAAGTTTACTGTATTATTTTGTCCAATTATTACAGTTTTCATTAAATTTATTTACCTCAATGTAAACATACTTGCTGTTCAATGAACGGCCAGATGAAATATCAACATTTAATTAAATTTGGAGTCAATTTCTCCTCAAATACCATGATCTACCGCAACATCAGTGTAGTCATTTGAGGCTACAAGTGGGAAGGCTCTCTGTCGGTAAGTTTTATATGAGGCAAAGTTGCATTATTATTTTGTTTACTTTATTTAAGTGATTTAAGTATAACAATGATGTGTACACCCTCCGCATTACATTTCTGTTACGCAGTGTGCATTTTTACCTTTATTATGTGCACTTCTTTAATTATCTGGAATATTTGATCAATCAGCACACTCCTGGTCCCATTAATGTCAGATAATAAAAAGTTTGCTGTACTTGAGGGAATAAGGAGTATGAAGATGTGCTAAGATTCGAGGAAGTAAGGGAAGGGGAGGCGCATATGGATTTAAACTATTTGAGCCAAATGTCTACACTGCAAATTCTATGCAATATTCCTGACATTAAAAATACCCAGTTACAATGAACCCCGCCAACCCATCACCGAATTTCTTCCTCCTGCTATATGTGGTAATTAAAACGGTAGAAGTGAAAATGCCAGCTTTGCACTGCTTGGCTACAAGTTTAGGTTCAACTGGAGATTTTCACATCCTGCTCTAAATTGACAAAGAGTCATATGCCACAATTCAAAGCAGATTTATTCAACAATGACTTGGCAGAATAAATAGGGAAATGACTTTCCGCAAACTCAAAAGACACAAAAAAACCCCTTTTTCATGAATAAGCATTTCTGAGCTTCAATATTCTCAACTATTTTAAATCCTCAAGTAAAAGCCACAGCTGTCATGCAGAACTGAAACTTCAAGCATGCATTGGACACTGGACTTTATGGCGAAAAGAGAAACAACAGCACTTGATCGGAGTATTACTGGAAAAAGAAGAACGTTTTGTTGAAGTCTGATATCTTACGCTCATTAGGGCAATTCACAAGAAATACCAAAGTAAAAAGTAAACAATTTTTACACAGTGGGTAAGGAGAATGCACCAGTCAACGAACGAAACAGTCAAACTGCCAACTTTTGTTTAAATTTTTAATACTCGGACTGACTCGCATTGGTTGAGGCGTTGCCCAAAGAAATAAACCAGAGAACAGTATTGCCTATTTTATTGAGTCAAAACAGGCAGTACGTGTACCTGCTTTTCTGTCTGTAAGGATGACAACCCTGTGTATTAATATATAGCTACCAGCAAACATAACTGCCTTACAATCAGTGACAAAATCTGAAAGATAGCACCTCCAACAGTGCACTTCTCCCTTAATGCTATATTGGATTGGGAGTCACATATGAAGTGGGGTTTGATCCCACAATCTCCTGTTTCTGAACAGTGCTAACTTGTGAGCCATGGTTGACAGACACCATAACTGAAATAAAACACTGACTTGTAGAAATATAAACAAGCTTAAAAGAGTGCTGAAACAAGGAGAAATATTACAAGTTATTTAATATATTAAAAAATGTTACCAGTAATCAGTATACTTCAGTTTAGTGGTTGTCTTGTACCGGTATAGAAAAAGAAAATCAGAAATTTCAAGCACGGCCAACACAGGAAGGTTATGTTTAAGCTAACTCAAATTGATCATCAGACAAGTGTTCAAACCATAAGGTGCGTCTCCACTGTAGGTTGGCACCTCTATTTGTTACAGCAAACCTTCTCAGTTCCATCCTCACTCCCATTCCACAAGAATGAACACACACACTTCAAGGCGAGAGAGAGAGACGGATGATAAACCACTCAAGTCTCAAGCATAAAATCTCCAGCTATCTGCAAATGCTGTTGACATAGATCTGCGTTGAGTAACTGAAGGCAGAATGTAATCTCTGCTGGCTTTTCTTTTCAGCTTTACTTCAACAAAACAGTGCTGAGTCATGCCAGACAGGCAGTTTTGCAGGGCCAGGAGAAACACAAGTCGTCGATTTGAAGTATCCAGATCTCAGATCTATGCCCAGGAAATCGGAACAGTAATCTGCAGGCGGTGATTAATTTAACAACTCCATATACATGCACGGGCAACTAGGGATGGACAACAAACACTTCAGCTATAGATGTCTCCCAAATTAAAGAACAAATAATAAAGATCTGTTAACCTTGACAATTGTGGCTGTCCTATTTAAAGAGGCTTTCAACTACTAGTCAACTTTCATCACTGGTTTGCACTGAAAAATGAACCTAATTTAACAATTAGACCCAGAATCTAATAAAAAAATATCAGTAGCCACATTAAAGTTAACCCGTCAAGTTAACGCTCTATTATAAAGACCAACAATTAGGAAAGTATTTAGAACAACAGAAAAGTTAGGGCAAAGAACAAGACCATACAGCCCATCATAGCTGAATAACTAGCCACTCATTCTAATCCCTAACTGGTACCTGGTTCTCAACCTTGCAAGTTACACCAGTCCAGAAGCAGGTTCCTTTTAAATGAGTTTTTGTCTCAATCAAAAGGGGCAGTAGACTCCATACACCCTCCACCCTCTGGGGGACAAAAAGATTTTCTTTGTATCTCCTCTAAGCCTCCTATCAATCATGTTAATCCTGCCATCGCTTGCCTTTGACCTCTAGGCTAGGGGAACGTATGTCTTCCCGGTCACTTCATCCAAGCCCCTCATTTATTTGTATACCTGAATTAAGTCACCCCTCAACCTCCTTGAGGAAAACAGCCCAAGTCTGTTCAATCTTTCCTCATTCCTACAATTTTCAAGCCCCGAAATTCCCGTAAATCTCCTTTGTACTCTCTCAACAGCATTATGTCCTCCCTGCAATTGTGACCAGAGCTAAACACAAAACTCCAACTGTTATCTGAACCAGTATCATATTTTCAGCATCACATCCCTGCTCTTGTATTCAATACCATGCCCAATGAAGGAAAATCTCTCTCAGGTCTTCTTTACCACCTTATCTACCTGTGCTGCAAACTCAAGGACCTATGGACATGTCTTCCAAGGTCTCGCTTCTTCTAGCCCTCTCAACATCGTCCCATTTATTACACTTCCTTGCTTTCTTTGCCTCCCTCAAACACACAATCTCAGTTCTCTGGATTTAAATTCCAGTTACCACTCTTTCACTCCCTGAACCAAACCATTGATACCATCCTACAGTCAACAACTGACTGAATTAGGCCAGTGATGGTAGCGAGTTCTGTAAGTTGTCCTACAGACTGCCCAAAACACCAGGGTCACTTGACTTGAAATGTTAACTCTGAATTCTCTCCACAGATGCTGCCAGACCTGTTCAGTTTTTCCAGCAATTTCTGTTTTTGTTTCAGGTACAATGCAAGTACCCACAAAAGCAGACCAACACAAGAATAATAAAATTGTGGTCATTTATTTTGTTGCTATTTGTGAATTTGGGCAAATTAACTACCACTTTTTCAACATTATTATAATGGCTACACCAAAAAAAAAGTACTTATTGACTATAAAATGCTTCCTGAGGTCACGAAAAGGTGCTATACAAACCTTCTTGCGTATCCTTTACTTAAAGTCAAAACCTGCACTCCAATTACCATAAAGCTATCTACCACTATAGTTCCACATTCAATAATTACACTTCAAAATGATCTTGGGCTAAACGTAGTTCAAAAATGTCACGTGCAAGTTATTTCCCAACTTAAATAGTGTCAGCAATTTCAACATGTGTTGGCATGTTACCGTGACACAGTACTTCATGTCTGCTTTAGTCACAATATCTTTGTGCACAACATTAGGAATCATCTGGCTAATTAACATTGCAGGATTTTATGCCCCTCTCCTCACGAACTAAACAGAGCAAAGGAGACCTTGAGTTTCCATTTTTAGATTTCTTTTTATTACACAAAGTGATGAAACGGAAAGTGAACCAGTTACACAATCACTCCAGCTGCACAATAAGGAATTTAGACACGTTATCACCACAAGATCCTAAACAAATTTGGTACTGTGCAATCTTGGTGCTTTTTTTAAAAATGAGGCAAAGGTGAATTCTTTAAGGGTGTCTCTGCTTTTACTAAGATATTAGAGAGAGGCCATGACCCATGTCATTTAGAGTTCTATCGTGCATTTGCCGCAGGTCCCAGGTACTTCTGAGACACGCATAGAGGAATTATAGCTGGCCCAAAAGGAACTGGTTGGGAGTTACCAAAAGGATCTATGCATTCTGGCAAAGTTAAAAAGGTTCTTTTTTGTGAGGGTGGGAGTCTTTTAAAAAGTTATTTCTATTTCAAAAAGTGCTATATCTAAACTACTTAGCTTGATATCAACACAGATGAAACTGATCTTGCAAAACTTTGTAAATGATTGGCCTCTGAAGGTAGACAAACAGGATCAAGACCTCCTGCAAAAGTAGGGTCACAAATGTGCTAATTGATCATTCAGTCACAGAGTCATACAGCATGGAAACACACCCTTCGGTCCAACCAGTCCATGTCGAACGTAATCCCAAACTAAACTAGTCCCGCCTGCCTGTTTCTGGCCCATATCCCTCC